TCGGAAGAGATGAAGATAAATATGATTTACATTGATGACACTTGTTAAACTAAATTATATAATGTGATTTTCATTTTTGTCTATTTTTATAGTTTTTCAATCTACCCTTCTCATGGAAAGAAAGAGATAAAAATAAAAGAAAATTAAAGATTTAATTTAACCAATAACCATGCATTTTAAAAAAAAAGTAATATATCGTTGAAATTTGTTGATGATGGTGGAAGATATGTGGCGTTAGAATTTGTCTTACAATCATAGTTAAGAATTCATGATGGCAGGTGAATAGTGAAAAACTTTTCCTTCCAGAAAATGCAACACCACGAAAGAGGATACTGTGAAAAAATAAAAAACCTAAATTTAGCGTATATTTTGCTTTAATCTCCTTCCATAATATGAAGCAGCACTCCAGAGCCTTACACCAACAAATCTCCAAGTTCAATCTCTGCCAATTCAAACTTAATCAGAAACATAATAACTACGTAAAAAATGGTGGTAGTTCTAGCAAGTTTTTGATTCAATGCAACACTCAGATCGCAGAAAATGGACGAAACGGCAACGTCAAAGAAGCAGAATCAATATTCCACAAGATGCCCATAAAGAACACAGCTTCTTGGACTGCCATGCTCACTGCCTATGCTCAAAACGGTCAAATAAAAAATGCCCGAAAAGTGTTCGACGAAATGCCGCAACGAACCACTGTCTCATATAATGCAATGATCTCTGCTTATATCCGCAACGGTTGCAATGTAGGCAAAGCTTATGAGCTGTTTTCAGTGTTGGCTGAGCGCAACTTGGTGTCATATGCTGCCATGATCACGGGTTTTGTGAAGGCAGGGAAGTTCCACATGGCTGAGGAGCTGTACCGTGAGGCCCCACATGAGTTCCGGGACCCTGCTTGCTCAAATGCGTTGATAAATGGGTATTTGAAGATGGGTGAGGTTAACGAGGCGATGCGGGTTTTTGAGAACATGGCTGAGAGGGATGTGGTTTCTTGGACTGCCATGGTTGATGGGTTGTGCAGGGATGGGAGGGTTGCTGCTGCTAGGGACCTGTTTGACAGGATTCCTGAGAGAAATGTGGTTTCCTGGAGTGCAATGATTGATGGGTATATGGGGAAAGGTTTGTTTCGAGAGGGGTTTTGTTTGTTTATGGACATGAGGAGGGAAGGTCTGGTTCAGGTTAATTCCACTACAGTGACTATAATGTTTAAAGCTTGTGGAAATTGTGGTAGGATGCCAGAGGGCATGCAGATACATGGGTTGGTTTCACGAATGGGATTTGAATTTGACAATGTTTTGAGTAATTCTGTTATTACTATGTACTGCATGCTTGGTTGCACAGACATGGCAGATAAAGTATTTTGTACCGTGAGCAACAAGGACATAGTTACTTGGAATTCTTTAATTTCAGGGTATATTCATAACAATGAAGTGGAAGCTGCTTTTAGGGTTTTTGAGAGGATGCCGGAGAAAGACTTGATTTCTTGGACAGCCATGATTGTGGGCTTTACCAAGAGTGGAAGAATTGAAAATGCTATAGAGCTTTTTAATATGTTGCCTCAGAAGGATGATTTTGTTTGGACGGCTATTATATCTGGGTTTGTGAATAATAAGGATTATGAGGAAGCTTTGCATTGGTATGCTCGGATGGTTTGGGAAGGGTGCAGGCCTAATCCTTTAACTATTAGCAGTGTTCTAGCAGCTGCAGCTGCTTTGGTGGCACTGAATGAAGGGCTTCAGATTCATACTTGTATTCTGAAAATGAACCTAGAGTATGATCTGTCTATACAAAACTCTCTAATATCATTTTACTCTAAGTCTGGGAATGTAATTGATGCCTATAGGATTTTCTTGGATGTCATTGAACCAAATGTTATCTCTTATAACTCAATCATCAATGGGTTTGCACAGAATGGCTTTGGCGAAGAGGCTCTCAGTATCTATAGAAAAATGCAGAGTGAAGGCCATGAACCCAACCATGTTACTTTCCTTGCTGTTCTTTCGGCCTGTACTCATGCAGGACTAGTTGAAGAGGGATGGAACTTATTTAACACCATGAAATCACGTTATGGAATTGAGCCAGAAGTTGATCATTATGCTTGTATTGTTGATCTCCTTGGCCGTGCTGGTTTGCTAGATGAAGCGATTGATTTAATCCGATCAATGCCATTTAAGCCCCATTCTGGGGTTTGGGGGGCTATTCTTGGTGCAAGTCAGAACCACCTACGTCTTGACCTTGCTAAGCTTGCAGCTCAACACATAACTGAACTAGAGCCTAAAAATGCAACTCCTTATGTAGTATTATCCAACTTGTATTCTGCTGCCGGGAAAAAGATTGACGGTGACTTAGTAAGAAAGACCAAGAATTTAAAAGGAATAAAAAAAAGTCCTGGTTGTAGTTGGATTACAATGAAAGATAAGGTTCATCTGTTTCTTGCAGGGGATCAGTCACATGGAAATATTAAAGAGATAAAAGCCACAATACTGACTATGGATAAGGAGATGCAATGGTTGTATCATTGTGGGTGCTAACTGCTGACTGAAAGTCTTGTTTCTTTCAGTTACAAACATAGCTTCTGTGCTGCTGCAGTGTCATCATTGCCTAAGCTATGAGGCTTCTTTTCAATCGACAGATTCTTGGATACACCTTGTGAAACATTCTCGTCCCTAACCATCTGTTAGAATGCCTATCATGTAGATATATTCTGTTTGATTACACATATATTAAAAAGAATGAAGCTTAATCAAAGTAACTTCTTTGTTGAATTTCAGACTTTCCAGTCTCCACTAATTCACTTGTGCATGTATTGTACGTTGTATACGAATTTTGTGGTTGTTGCTGCTATTAACAATGCCATTTGAATATTTTATTAATTTACTTGGGCTCACCTTTGTGATAACAAAGGTTTTTCTATTTCGATAAAACTTTTGCTGTTTTTCAAACATGTAACCCTCTACTCATAATAAGGACACCGGTTTTCCATTCTATATACTTATTATGACTAAAATAACTTTTAGAATATTCATTTTTTTTGTTAAAAACAGCTCAGCTTCTAGGTAGTTGAATATGCATGTTGGCAGTTTTAAGTTGCATCCAATTTTACACATTTTACTTTGTCTTTAATCTACAAAATAACACCTGTTTTAATTGAAACTTCATTGTACCATGATCTTTCTGTGCTTTCTAGTTTTGGCAGCTAATAAACACTGATGATTATTTGCAGGTGCAACTTGTAAAAATGGTATTAGGCTACTGCCAACATAACAGGAAAGGGATTCATTAAATTGAATTTGAAGCTAGGGAAAGGTTAACGGTCCATAAGGTCCTGATGCCAGTGACCACTTGATGAGAAACACCGATACCACACCAGAATCAAGATCATTTCTTTTTTTCTTCCCCCCTGACCGCCTCTCCTCAAACAATCAAATAACCTTATGCATTTGACCGTCTATTTTATTCCATTTTTTCTTATATTATATGCTATGAATCCACACAGGAACATACACTTCTGCTTCTGTTTACCCAAGTCTGTGATTAGGCTTTTTCTTTATTTTATGAAGAGGTTTGGAGAAGTTGATGAAGATTTTATTTCAATTGTTCCTGTAGATTGGGTCCTGCAGTTGGAAGACTTCAAGGAGGTGGGACAATTTTTTTCATAGAGCCTAGAACTAGCAGCTGATCATTATTAGTCTTGCTAGTTAGGTTCATATATGAAGCCAAAACCTTTTTCCATGTTTTCTAGGATGCTATATGAGTCACCTCTTAAGATTACAAAAATACTGAATCCTAACCGCTTCTGGTGTTTGCATAGAAGTTTGTCAGTGAAATTAACAATATGGAAGACATTAATCGCTTCTGCAACATATAGTTGATTTGGATTCCAGGTTTGCACCTAAACTTTGTTTTACTTTCACACTCCAATTTACTCCAATGGATCATGTATAATTTTCCTTACTATCTTTCTTGGAGGTGCGGGCTTTGATTTTGAATCATAGACACCCCAGGCTTGCCTATAAACCAACCAGTCCTTGCCATTTGCCAAGCCAATAGATTATCATGCTTCCGTCTCTTCCATGCATGCCATCAACATAAACACTTACTGTTTTTAACTTTCTTCACTATCCATTTATTTAAATATTTGAACCTAATGTTACTATCTGAGATGTGATTTCTTTTTCTTGTCCTGTTGTAATTGTGTCTATGTAACATCAGTACAGAAATCAGTTGTTATATGTGTGATCTAATTACATTGCTAAAGAGAATCCTAACTTCAAAAGATGAGGTTACCACTTGGTTGTGTTATACGTGAAGACATGATGCCAGATGCCTAAGTCAGGTTTTGTTTGTGTCATGACGCAGTCTTGGTGAATTGGCCTTTTGTAATTATCAAGAATGTGACAGTGTTGTGTTTTGACCTTGGAAATCTTTTGGCACAAAACATTATTGAGCTGGAGGCTATAAATGCAACGCCTTATGTTCTATTATCCAACTTCTCTGCTGTGGGGAAAAAGACTGAAGGGCACTTAGAAAGGCCCAGAATTTAAATGGAATAAAAAATAATCCAGGTTGTTGTTGAATTACTATGAAAGATAAGGTTCTTCAGTTTCTTGCTGGGGATCAATCACATGGGAATACTGAAGAGATAAATACCACAACATTGAATATGGATAAGGAGATGCAAATATTGTATTATTGTGAGTATGCAATTGAGTATTTTGACTTTGAGTCATAAAAATATTGTAAAATAGAGAAGTCTGAATTGCAAAGTACGTTTTTTTTCTTCTTAAATGCTCGGTTGTAAAGTTAATTAGTTAGAGTTAATTCTATTTTCTCATAGAGAAAAACCGAATTATAATTTTAAGAAAACTAAAAATAAAAAAGTAATAAGTCATTTTAGAATTAACTAATGAGACGGATCGTTATGTAATTTGTAGAAGGTTATAAATTCAGTCGATCACATATTGCATGTACAAAGAAAAAACATACTACTTGAGAAATAATTATGAGCACTATTTCTTATATTCAAGTACGATTGAGGAAGTGATTCTAATTAATTTCCAGCTGGGTAATTACATGGATGAAAAAGTAAACAAAGGTTAAAATAAAATTAAAGTTTGGCAATAACATGTACATAATATAACAAAGTGATTCATGTTCTCAGTTGTTTCCTTGTATAATACTAATATATATTAATCTCAGAATACAGCATCACTTGGCCCTTGTGCCAAATAATTCTCTCTATATTGTTGCTCCAAGAAAACCCCATAACACGATTGGAAATCATCAATCTCATAATTTCCAACTTGAAATTCCATTGCTGCATGCTCCATGATCTCATCTCCACAGGGGATCCATGCATTCATCTCATCAAACGGCAAGGAAGAGATCAATTCCATGTCACCCCAATGATCATCAGTGCCACTGTCTGACGTGGAGCAATCTTGATCATCCACGTGTCCCATCTCAGTGTCACCGATCTCTGCTTCCAATGACTGAATCATGCTCACAAGTCTATCATCGCCATAATACTCTTCTTCCTGTGTTTCTTCCAATAGAGACATGAGAAGAACATTGTTGGCCTCTGAGAACTCAATTCCTAATTCAAACTCTGAGGAAGACATGTTACAATATGTTAAAAAGTAGTGACCCTTTTTTCTTTGGTTAGTGAAAATGGTGAAAGAGAGAAAACTAGAAGAAATTAAGGCAATAGAAGATGCAGACTAGGATGGCTTTGAAGGATGAAGAAGGGACCTTTATATAGGCAAATGCATGGTACACTAATTAATACGAGGTGGGGTTGCTTTTGCTTTTTTGCTACTGTACTAGGCCAATCAATCATGAATTATGTGATGAAAGATAAGATTCATATAATTGTGCTAATTAGGATAATATTCTTCATATATTTTTTATGGGAAAAAAAATATATGAAAGATTTGACCCATTGATGTCTACTTGTCGAGCAACAGATCAAGGCATTCCAGGTGAGCAATATATGGTATTAGTTAGGCTACCCATACCATAAGGCACCCACTAAGGTTTGCAACAGTGGGGCATCACAATATGCCCACTTAAAAGATCAATGATTAACACAAGAAATTGAAAAAATAAAGAAAAGTTTGAACGGAATAATGTAATTAACCAAAATGTTTTCACAAAGATATAAATGAGTGACATGATAAAGCATATTGTATTAGCTAAACATGTCCATTAATAACTTCTAAACCCATCTTAACTTTATGAATTTGTTCAACTAGTTGTCTTAGCTAACTCTCTTTTAGCTATTTTAGGCTTAATATATAGCTTCTTGATGGACATCATCATTTTATTGTTTGACAAGACTATTATCAACATTTTGGTCTAAAAACATATTTTATAAAAAAAAATTCGGTTTCTAATCACATTTCACATATAATAAACCTGTTAAAAACACAATCGGAAACTAATTATAAGAGGTTATTCTTCCAAATATGATTCGCCATTCCAAAGGGGATTAGTTAGCTTCTTTTTATTAAACCAAATATATTAGTCATTTAAAACTTAAAATAATATTGACTTCCCTTGAATTTTTTAATAACTTTTCTGTATCTATTATAATAGAATCAATATAAAATGTCGTCTTTTTATATTGGTTATAGATTTAATAACTAATGTAAATTGGTTCAATATTCTATAACCGATGTAAAGGAGTCTTTGAAATCATTTGCAAAATCATATTTTTGACTTTTGTGCACTCCTATTTCTCTTCCTCAAATCTTATTTGAATCTTCTCCAACATTGTCGATGATGGTCTAAAACGATCTTTGACTAGCTTTTCTTGCGATTTCATCATCATCCACGACTTCCAAGGACATTCACCATGTACACCATTTCACCATTTCATTCTTGTGTCATTTTCAATTTTGTTTTTACTTCATTTTTTTTCCCTCATTTTGTCACTCTTCCCTTGTCAAGCTTGCTTTCGATCTCCATCCCTTTGTTCTCCAAGTCTAGACCTCACTACTATCAGGTATGTCATTTTTTTCCATTATTGGTTTCATTTTTCGTTTTCATTTCACATTGTTAATTTTATTTGTAGTTTTTCTTTAAATTTTGTTTTACTTTCATTTGCATTTTCAACCATTAATGATAAATAGTCTGTCCGGAACTTGTTTACAGGTTTGAGATAGTAAAAAATAAATCATTTTTTTAAAAGAATTTCTAGAATCAATTGACGATTGTATTATAATTAATGAAATTTTCTCTTTTCATCATCGATAGGAACAACAAGAAGTTCCACAATTAATGTAAAATGTCAAAAATAGTTTATGTAGAAAGGTCTCCTTGCACTAGTGAGAAGAAGGTTCTCTGTCAAAGTTATTTAAGCATCTATAAATATAAATAACTTTGTTTTTCGTATATAGAATTGTCAAACACCATTTGAGCTCTAAAACAATAATTTAAAATATGCATATCTGAGCTAACTTGCATAAGTATTGGATTGTTTGGGGTACTAGGCAGTAGGCACTATACATAACAAGTGTTTATGCCTTTTTTTTAGTTGACTATTTCAGGTAAGTCTATCAAACATCACTTATGCCTTGGCATGTGCATAACAAAGGCACATTTCGTCCTTGGCATGTGAAAAATGCAGCATATATCCACACCACTCTCTGAAAAAAGGTGGGTACGATATCAGTTAAAGAGCACAACCTATAAATACATGTGATTCCCACTTGATCATGCAAGGTAGGGTTGAAAATGAGTTGAACTGAGTGGACTTCGATTCAATTTGACCATATTTTTCTCAACTCAAAACTCATAAAATAAGAAACTATATAGTGTGAAAAGCGTTTGCACGAAAATAGACAAATTTTAAACTAATCAATCACAAGTGCATAATAAAGCTTAGCGTTTATAATTTTTCCTATCTCAAAATTCCGTACCAAATATCAATTTCCTATTATTGAATGTATATGTAGACGTTGATATATCATTCATTACTCGAGATAAATTTGTACAGACACCTAAATTCGCGTGCATGCATAATAAGGACAACAACATGCACGTAGCTAGCTCTACAAATAATTAAAGACTTTCTCTATCCCTAAAACAGGAATATAAATATATAAAACTAATTATTATGTAACATGCATGCATATACAGATGGGACTAATCGTGCAAGTTTCGGTTTCATACCAAACAAACATGGAATCTGTAAAGTTGAACCTATCCACGTGGGTGCCACGTGCTCAGAAACTACTATACACATACGTGCCTTGTGTGCTTGCCGGTGGTTCAATATGTGTATAGGACGCATCTTCAATGAAGCTTTCAAAAATCAAGAGATTTAGACACCACATCAATTATTTTGCCACCATGCATTGTAAACCACTTGACATATCATATTACAATGCTAGATCCTATTTTAATAAGTCATATATCAACATTAAATCATGGTCAGCATAAATAGTTATCAATATACATTGCGATTGATATATAGTGTTTTTTTTTTTTGGGTGTTGAGCTCTTAAAAGAATAAATATATATAGTGTTTCATGACATAAACTCCAAAAGATATTATTTAAGAGAGATAAATCAAGGTTAACACCAGACACGCATTATTAAGAGAAATAGGTATAATCAGTAAACACATTTTTTTTTTCTGGCATGCATATATCCTCTTCCAAATGTGAGACAAATTAAATGTGATATTTCTCTGAAAAATGAGAATTCAAGCCCTAACTTTCGATGGTACACCATGCATATTTATTATAAAATAAAGTTAATTTAAAAAAAAACAAGTTAATAATTTTATTTAAAATATCTTGAAAAACTTTTCAATTTTGTTATTGAGTTCAGACTTCAAATTCTCAAGATCAACTTTACAAACAATTTAAATACTTAATTAGAATTTATTTAGATACAAATTAAGTTTTCTTGAGAATTTTTTATTAAAAATAAATAATATTTTTTATAAAAAAAAAATTCAAAAATACTTTTAAGCTTATATCTAAAGATATATACTCTTTATTCAAATCTATTAATTGTGACTTTGAATTCTAGTGCTGGTCCATTCCAATTCAATTCAACCGAAAGTCTTGCATGGGTATCGCATATAGGTGTTTATGGTCGAGGGTACTTAATATGGTTGAGTGGGGTATTCAATTCGATATACTCCTTTTACATTTTCTAATGTCACAATCCTCCACTTGTATTATTATATCATAGAGGTCCCTCTTAGGTGCATGAGGTCCACTTAAAAAGAAAATTACATATGACTTAATTCTTCCGGGAACTAGCTATTTGACATTGAAATATCTTATATTATATTAATCAAGAATAAAATCATTTCACCACTCTTT